TCGAATACGAGAATTTTCTAAGAAGCACAAAATGCTGGTAAAAGGGGTATCGCAAACTGTCCATAAAACACCGAAAGCTTTAAATCTGCGAATCGAGGAAGGTGGAGTTGGAACTTTCACTTGGGAAGGATAAGACGGTTGTCTTCTGGCAAGAAGTCCAAACAGCACTCGCATCTTTAAAATAGAGAATGTGAAGTAGGAGACATCCATGAAGATGTGCTTTACAAATAAAACTTTTTGTTATGAGGAAATGGGCCAACGTTCTCGGACAAGCACCACAAAGACACCCTGCTCACATAGTCTCCACAAAACTCAATCGAATTACTATCAGCTATTCACACAAAAAGTTCATTCGCAGTCTTGACCGGTTACCACAAATTTGGGTTAATTTTAGACGATTACATAGTTCTCTTTTGTCCTCGTCAGACGGGGTTTGATTTTCTTATTATGCATTCTTACGTGTCGAATTGCATAAACCGATGCTATTCCCATGTACATAACTCCTTAAAACGTCTTTATGGGATAGCGACCTGATCCTCATTCCTGATACTCTATTTGTGTGAAAGGTCATCCACTAAAGAAACTTACGCTTGCTCTGTTTGATCATTTAATTCCGGTTTCAAAGAGAAGGAAGAGATGAATAGTTCGTTGGAGGACGTCGTGTTTAATGAAAGCGGACTTCCCATATATTCCGGAAATCAAATATTTTTGCCAGCCCAGAAATAATCACTAAAAGCCTAAATTGGAAAGGGTTTAAAGGAGCCACTCGGGTCAACTTAGGCAAAATCAGCCATCCATCCGTTCTGCAAAAACCTCTTAGCTTCCAATAAGCCCGGCATCCACTAGTTCCCTACTTTACCTTGGATTTAATTACTGATAAAGCCTCGTTCAGCTCTCTGCTCCGTCCTTTTGACGATTTGAAATCAACACCTCGCATTATTTGCAGGCCTACTTAGAAATGTTCCTTTTTTGTGTTACTATGACCACCTTCAGGGAAAAGTTTAAACTTACTGCTAATAAAAATCTTAACTGAAAAGAACAATGAAGTTCAGGTGTTAACAGACTGAGCCTTGGCCTTAAAATCCAAAATCTTCCACATTAATGAGTTCTGAACAGCTTTTTTTGCAGCTCAACCCACTTGTTTAACTATATCAACGAGCTGCACATACTCTGTCTAGGTCCTTTCGCTTTTGGAAAATGTGCAGATAGTGTACTCTCCTTTTCGCGTGTGTCGACGCACTTCATGCAGCCGTATAGCGTGTTTTAACCTCCGGTCCCTCGGAAACTAAAAATGATCAACACAGGATAATGCTTTTTTTGGGAAACCGCAAAATGCTTGCCTGCAGACCGCCGAATCCTACATTTAATACTGTAACTACTCACGAATCGAGGCCGTCCCTGAAATCGGAGTACATTAGGAAAATTGCTACGGATGCGTGTCTTATTGGGAGTATGCCAACACCCCACTCTTCTAAAATTCCCCCGGGATTAATAAAGACGAGGGATTGCGTTCCGTGTACTTATACAACGAATTCTGGATATAACACCCTGAAATCTTACCCATATTCAGAATACAAATTATGTAAGTGCCTTGATGCTGCTTTCATATAAAAACATTTATGCAATCCAATGTCAGCGAATGGCCAGGTCTAGGTTTAGTATAGCTTTATGGTGGTATGTGTAGCCACAATGCGCATTGTGGCTACATGTATCGCGCGATACATGTCTGTCTGAAGACTTCTCACAATAGTTCGTCATACATAAACCGCATTTGAGGAAGTTATTTCTGTTTTTTTCTACCTATTTTATGTTTCTATTCCTCTTTCTATTTTTGCTATGGTATTAAAGACGTCGGCTGGCTTTCACAGCAGCCTTGCCCGACAAAATCAGGTCTGGTGTGCTTCCAAGCGGCCGCTTATCAGCACGGTCCGAAAATTGCTTAAACTACTTAAACAGGCTCCAGCGTTTGGTAGTTAAACTCCCATACGGTTGGTCGTCAACTTCGAGTCCTTATGTTATTTGTTAATAAGGCCATTTATGGGGACCCTGAAATTACAACCTAACGTCCTAGATTGAAATCTCTTTCTACGCAGCTGGCTTTTCTGCATTAACGGACAATATTACCACATTATGGTAGGTTTCAATCCCCAATCGCGCTTGGTATGTATCACACCGACCTTACTTATTCGACATAACATTTTTCAATTTTTGAACCAACGCCGCCCGTCTGGCCATTGAAGACGAGGAAAGTCAACATTATAATTTTGGTATCTTTTTTGATAATACACGGCTCTAATGAGTCAATTCATGAACGCAATCTAGGAACGCTCCGAATCCTGATCCATAGGACAGCGTTTTGCCTCCTAGACTGGTTTCTTTGCCATCGATTAAATAAACAGTTCGATGCACCTTCATAACTTTCTTAATGCTCTTCGCACGCGTTCCTTTATTTTATATTAATAGGCTTTTTATCTGACTTATTTATAATTATCACTACTCTGTCGAAAGTAACCTAAGTATCACCGTTTATAGTTGTCGTTATTTGTTAGAGTTGGTGGCTTCGGTCTTCCAGGTTTTGTCTAGTTACACCCTGCGCATTATTGGGCAACACGAAGACTCATTATGGCTAGCCTGTGTGAATAGATTGAGATATGTACCATGCTTGGAGGTAAGAGATAAGTCTTATATGGATGACAGATACTACCATGTGATAGGGTGACAATATTTATCTTATTCCGACATTGCTTTTACCACTTTATCGCGTTTATTGTTTTATATAGCTCCATAGAGAGTGGTGGTCTAGCAATTATGAAGTATAACTGCTATACAACTAACTTTATCTGCTAACAAATATTCCAGATATTTTACCCCCATAAAATTTTAATCTTGCTGCTAAAAAACTTCATATTGACCTCGTAAAACTGCAAATCTATATACCTTCGCAGAAGTCCACCAACCACCACCTTACCTAATTGCATGGATCTTTTATAGGCGAATGTACTCTCGATCTTCGGCGGACCC